GATAGATAGATAGATAGATAGATAGATAGATAGATAGATAGATAGATGAAAGATAACTAGATAAATAGATAGATAGATGGGTGGGTGAATGGATGAACAGACAGATGATACTGATAGACATATGACAGATGCATAGATGATAAACAGATGAATGAATGATAGATAGATAGATCAATCGATCGATCCATGTCAGCCTGGCTTATCTGCTTGTGACCCTGTTTCAAATGACAACATAATAATTATAATTATGTTTTTAAAATAAAATAACAATAAAATTAGGCAGAGTTATCAGAACAAAATGATGAAGACGACACATCCTCTCCCTGTGATTTCTCTGTCCTTGATAATCCACTGCCTTCGCTGGTAGTTTGCCCCTCCCCAGCTTCCATGCTGTTCTGGCTCCAAGCCAAGGTCTTAAACCAGCTGTCTTAGTTTGCTATCTGTTGCTGTGATGAAGCCAAATGAACTTGGCCAAGGAAAGGGTTTACTGGGCTTACACACCCACATCCATCACTGAAGTGAGTCAGGGCAGGAACCTGGAGGCTAGAGACCTCTCTGGAGGTCAGAGACCAAGGAGGAACGCTTCTTTTTTTTTTTTTTTAAGGTATTTTTTAATTTTTATTAATTACAGTTTATTCACTTTGTATACCTCCTGTACCTCCCTCCCTCCTTCCCTCCTAATCCCACCCTTCCTCTTCTCCACCTGTGTCCCTCTACCAGTCCACTGAAAAGGGAGATCCTCCTCCCCTTCTCTCTGATCCTAGTCTATCAGGTCTCATCAGGACTGGCTGCATTGTCTTCTTCTGTGGCCTGGTAAGGCTGCTCCCCCCCTTGGGGGTGGGGGAGGTGAAGGAGGTACACTTCTTACTGGCTTGTGCCCCATGGTCTGTTCAGCTACCTTCCCCATAACACTCAGGACCATATGCCCAACGATGACACAGCCCACAGTGGGCTGGGCCCTCCTAATAGCAATTAAGAAAATCTCCCACTGACACGTCCACAGTGCAATCCCATGAAGCAATTTCTCAGCTGAGTTCTTTCTTCCTGAGTGTGTCAAGTTGACAACCAATATTAAGCCATTACACTAGCCCACCCTAGGGGAGGGCCTCTGCTGAGTTTTTATGGTCTCCAAAGAGAATGTGTGTGTGTGGAGTGTATATCTTCAGGTAGAAGGAACCATATCAGAGCTTAAGTAATTTGTTCTAAGCCCCCCAGTAGATCACAGCCAGAAAAAAATCCAGCTCCCTGCAATCCTAAAGCATTAGGAGAAACAGAAGAATCCACCAGGCGGAGAAAGGAAGGAAGAGTGCTCGGATACAATGTGTCCCCACCCCCTAGGAGAGTGAGACAACTTGGATCCCAGAAACAATGAAACCGAAGACAGGCCAGACTGATGCTACCCCAGAACCGGAAATGGAAGGGAGCTGGAGTCCTCGCCCAGGCAGTCTGGGATGGAAGGGGCTGGGGCAGTAACGGTGTTTGCCTTTCAGGAAATTAAAAGTCCCTCTCAATAACCATGTTAGCCTTCAACACTCGCTGCTGTGGCCAGTCCTGTAAGCCATAAAATCCGGGCAAGGGAAAGATATGAAAATTCATAAGCAAGAAAGCCAACTTATCTCACTCTCTTTATGAAGCCTCTCTCCCTTGCCCCCACCTCGACTCAGTCTTTTTTTATTATTATTATTTCTAATGTTCTCATCAAAGAGCTGTTTCTGACAGCCGGAAATATGTCCGAGGGACTGGAAAGTATATGGATTTAGAAAAAATAGAGAACGCTGCCTTCCTGTTCCACGGCAGCTCTGCTGAGTCACTTCTACTTTAGAAAGAACGGAAGGTGTCAGAATTCTATTCCACCATTTCAGGACACACAGAAGGCAAGTGGCCACCATGGCATGATGGAAGGCCTCGTTCTCCTCTATGGAGAGTGCCAGAAGAAATGTGTTCTCTGGTTTTATTATTGCCTCATGTCTTGGGCACTGCTTCCTATGAGGGATGATGGGAGGTGATTGCTAAACTTCTGATGTGCACAAAGTCTAGCCAAGAGTAGAAAAACCTGAAAAGTCCCAATGAGCAAACACTCTTTTCTGGTGTTTTTCAACCCCATGGCCCTTTAAGAGCTGTGAAAACTAGCCAACTACATTTACTGTTTACTTTAAAAATATAGTAATTAGCCAAGTGTGGTGGCACACACCTTTCTTCCCAGTATGTAGACAGCAGAGGCGACAGAACTCAGCCATTACCCAGTTCAGTTCCCAGCATCTACGGGAGGTGTCTCCCAACTGACTGTAACTCTACCTCCAGGAGGTCTGATGGCATCTTCTAGCCTCTGCAAATAAATGTTTGTTTGTTTGTTTGTTTGTTTGTTTGTTTGTTTTAAGATATAGTAACCAAATTCCAAATGCTCACATATTCTCATCAACACAAAAACTCCAGAGCTAGGTATTTCCACCCATACACACTGATGTATTTCACATACAAGAAACATTATATAAGCTAGGCATGATGGCCTTTGATCCCAGGCTGAGGCAGGCAGATCTCTGTGAGTTTAAGGCCAGCGTGGTCTACAAAGCAAGTCCAGGACAGACAAGGCTACACAGAGAAACCCTATCTTGAAAAAAGAAGAGGAGGAGGAGGAATCAGCATTATATAAAACAGTTCATTACAGTGTTTAGTTGTGATTGAAAAAAAAAAAAAAAAAATCCAGGCCTGGGATTAAAAAAAAAAAAAAAAAAAAAAAAAGATATACCACAAGCCTGTGATATCAGCACTGAGAAGAGACAAGAAGACCAGGAGTTCAAGGTCAGCTGTGTAATATGGTGAAATCCTGCCCCCCCCCCCACCAAAATAAATAAATGAATGAAAGCTAAGCCGCCTGGAAAGAAGTCAATAAAGTACAGGTGAACTAACTTATGGTTAAAGCCAGGAATGGTACGGCATGCTTGTAATCCCAATGGTCAGGAGGCAGACACAAGAGTGCTGTGGACAGAGGCCAGGCTGGTCTACAAAGAGATTCCAGGACAGCCAGGGCTGTTACACAGAAAAAAACACAAACCAAAAAAGCCAAGTGGAAGTGCCAAGCCCCGGTACCTTCTTTGGAGAGAAGGTTAAAGGGAGAAGTAGGTTAAAATGAAGTTGTGAAAATGGCCCTGACTAGTCTGAATTGTCTTCATGTCACAACACTGGGGACTCGTGTGAACAGGGAACAGAGGCTGTCTGACGGTGTAGCCAAGAAGGAGGCCACCTGCACAAGGGCGGCCTCAGAAATGCAGTGTCCACCCCTTGAATTTGGACTTTTCAGCTCCACACACCGCAAGGCCTTGAGCGAGCCACCAGTACTGTTTTGTTATAGCAAGCTATAGCAGAGTGATACTGTCTGCACTGACATTTCACAACAGGAAGCACTCTGTGGCCTTCTTTTCCCTCTGGTTCGGTTTTACTGAGACAGGCTCTCCTGCAGCCGTGCTGTCCAGTGGCTACGCAGACACAGCTGGCCTAGGAAACATAAATTACACGTGTTCACTTGTTTATTTTGGGTGTGTATGCTCGGGGTCAAAGGACAGCTTCCAGGAGCTGGTCCTTCTACCACGTGGCTCAGGGGATAGAACACAGGTTGTCAGGGTTGGCGGCAAGTAATCTTACAGGCTGAGCCATCGTGCCAGTCCACAGGGAACAAAGAGGCAGAAAGACTGAGAGTCTGAAGATAGCTGCACAGAGAGTTCAGGGCCAGCCTGGGCTACATGGTAAGACTCCGCCCAAAAATCCACATAAACGAATGAGTGAGTGAATACAGTTGCATTATAAATGCCTTTATGAATTTTGGGAAAATCATTTATTCCACTCTATGAGACTCAGCCAAGTAATTCTACATACCATTTTAAACCAAAATCCAGAAGACATTTTGGTATCTCTAGCACAACAAGAGATCAGGGTACACCCACAGGGAAAGGTTTTTTTAACAGCTTATCTACAAATAACATTAACAGGAGAACACATATGATACACACTACTTGTATCTAAGATCTTTAATTTACTCAAATGTTGAAATAAACTAGACTTACAACACTTTTCTCACCTAAACAACATGGTTGAGCGACAAGAGGTAAGCATCAGTGGTACAGAGTGTCCGGGAGGTCCCCGATTCAGTCCCCTGCACAAAATAACACAGAGCACATCGTGAGAATGCGTTGAAGGATGGAGGACTTGACCGAACAGAGCAAGACATGAACAAAGGTACACTTTGGCAGTACGAGAAGGCCTCGTCCTCCCTGTCAGAGAGCGGCAGCACCTCAGATTTCATAGTTTCTGAACTTCCTCAAGAGTTCCGAGGGAGCGTCGCCAGACCAGCAGGAGCGAAGGTGGCCACGGTCCAAATCGGAGAGACCTTTTAGGTGAGGAAAGAGAAACACTTCAAATTGGAGGTAGGAGAAGAAGACTCAAGCAGAGTCAAGACTAAAGCAGCTTGGGGTTAGAAACTAGGCTAGCCTGGAACTCACAGAGACCTGCCTGCCTGTACTCTTGAGTACTGATATTATAGTCATATGCCACCAGACCTGCAAAGTATTCATATTTTATAGAAACAGATTACCTTACATTACTTTTGAATTCTTTTTTAAAGATTTTTTTTTATTATTATTTATTGTGTATACAATGTTTTATCTGCATGTATGCCTGCATGCCAGCAGAGGGCACCAGATCTCATTATAGACAGTTGTGAGCCACCATGTGGTTGCTGGGAATAGAACTCAGGTTCCTCAGGACCAGTGCTTTTTTTTTTTTTTTTTTAAATATTTTTTTAACTTTATTTTATGGACATCGGTGAAGGTGTCAGATCCCTTGGAGTTGGGGGCATTACAGACAGTTGTGAGCTGCCATGTGGGTGCTGGGAATTGAACCCAGGTCCTTTGGAAGAGCAGACAGTGCTCTTCCACTGAGCCATCTCTCCAGCCCCAAGACCAGTGCTCTTTACCTCTGAGCCATCTCTCCAGCCCATGGAATTCTTATGAACAGAAATTACACTTCATATGTACAAGGACCTCACGTGCTTAATAGCTATCCTGTCGCAAAGAGGAAGATTTTCCCAATCCAGGAAAATTTTTATAGTACTTTTACTAATTCTTTTGAGAATTTTGTACAATGTATTTTGAACATATCCAGCCTTCCACTCCTTGCCCTAGCGCCTCCCAGGTCCACTCCTTATGCCACATTCCCGCTTAAAGAGTACGCCAAACCAGCTGGGTGTGGTGGAGCACGCCTTTTATCCCAGTGCTTGGGAGGCAAAGACTCTGTGAGTTCCAAGTCAGTCTGGAAGCGAGACCTGTCTAAAATAAAGATTTTTAAGATGCTAAACATATTTTTAAGTTGGCATGGCTGTGCACACTAAAACAGGCTGAGGACAGCTGTGAGACAAGTCACGTTCTCCGATTTCCAGTGAGAAGCCAGGTGGCACAGCTTACCTGGAAAGTCTGGGTTTGCGGGGGAGAGGCCCTTCACTGGGGACCCAGCTTTCTTTTGCATAATTTTCTCGGTGGTTGAATCTGGGTCCCCTTTCTTTGTTTCTCTTTGTTCGTTCGGTTCCTGGTTTTGAACCATGTTGGTGTAAGTCTGGCCAGTTCCTTCCAGCATCAAGTCTTTCTTACTTCTCACAGCCCAGTGCATTGACTAGATTAATTAAGAGGAGACACACAAACATCATTTGGGATTTCTTTCTTACATCTGGTTATTTACTGGGGGGGGGATACAGGTAGAGGGGGGACAGAAGACAGCTTTCAGGAGCCCATTCTTCCACCGGGGGAGTTCTGGGGATTGGACTTATGTCATCAGGTTTTGCTAGCAAGCATCTTTATCCACTGAGGCATCTCACCAGCCCTTGTCTTCTCTCTGTCTGTCTGTCTGTCTCTCTGGTTCCTATGTAGCCCAGGCTGGCCTCCAGCCACTAAGCTTTTTGTTTGGTTGTTTGGGGCTTGTTGTTATACTTTGTTGTTATGTAGATGTACAGAATTTAAACAGATGAAGAGAGAAGAAAAGAGAACACCATGTTCCTCCTGAAGAGCTGGAGACAGTTCAGTGGTAGAGTGCATAACCCAAGAGAGATCTTGATTCAAGAACCACAAAAGGTGGGGGTGAGAGGTACTATGAAAAATGAGAGAATAAGAAAGTCAAAGGCATGGGTAACACACACCTGTAATCCCAGCACTCAAGAGGCAGAGGCAGAGGCAGGCTGATCTCTGTGAGTTCAAGGCCAGCCTGGTCTACAGAATTCCAGGATAGCCATAGCTATACAAAGAAACCCTGTCTGGAAGAACCAAAAAAAAAAAAAAATTAAACACACAAAAGCCAGGCATGGTGGCACTTAGAAAACTCAAGAGGCAGAGGCAGATGAATCTCTGATTTCGAGGTTAATCTGGTCTACATAGCTAGTCCAAGACAACCAGGATACATAGTGAAATGCTGTTAAAAAAAAAAAAATTCTGAGCTTAGAGAATTGAAAATGTAAACTATAAAAGTCACAGGTTCTTGGGAGGCAGGGACAGGTGGATCTCTAGAAGATCTAGGCCAATCTGATCTACAGAGAGAGTTCCAGGACAGCCAAGGGCTACACAGAGAAACCCTGACTGAAAAAAAAAAAAAAAGCCACAGGTTAAGACCAGCGAAATGGATCAGTGAGTAAAAAAGCTTGTCACCAAGCCTGACAACCTGAGTTTAAGCCTCAAGATTCACAGAGTGGGAGGAAATAACTGGTTCCTGCAAGTTTTCCTCTGCCCTCCATATATGTGCCATGGCAGACACACATGCACACCCACCGACACCCACCACACACAGACACACACACACAACTCAGTAGGCAGTAGGCAAAGGTATTTTCCACCAAGCCTTACTACCTGGCTCTGATAACTGGAATTCATATGTTAGAAGGGGAGAACAACTCTTTCTTACAAGTTGTCCTCTGACCTCTATATATATGCTGTGGAACACACACACACACTTAACAAATATGAAAAGTTTTTAAGAGTGATGCCAAGCAATCGAATGCACTGGGAAGCAGGCAGCCTGCAAGTCACGGCTTTTTATGTGACTTCACAGAGTATATTTCTCATTTCCACCAGACCATCGGTGGCTCAGAACAGCGTGTAACTTCACATAAACTAGTCCTCGGAAGAGCAACAGAGCTGTGGATGGAGTTCAGTTAGGTAAAGTGCTTGCCTGGCATTTGGGAAGTCCTGGGTTCAGTCCCCGCACTAGAGAAAAGAGTGGACTAAGGATGGAGCAGCTATACAGAGATGCAGTGCTTGTCAGTGTGGGGTTTGAACAGGAATGGCCCCACAGACTCATTTGTTTGAATGCTTGGTCCCTACGTGTGGCACTATTAGGAGCTGTGGCCTTGTTGGAGGAAGTGTGTCACTGTGTAGGTGGGCTTTGAGGTCTCCTGTGCTCACTCTACACTGAGTGTGGCACACAGTCTCCTTCGCAGCCTACGGACCAAGCTGTAGAGCTCTCGGCTCCTTCCCAGCGCCATGTCTGCCTGTGTGCTGCCATGTTCCCACAATGACGATAATGGACTGAACCTCTGAACCTGTAAACCAGCCCCAATTAAAGGTTTTCCTTTGTAAGAGTTGCCTTGGTCATGGTGTCTCATCACAGAAACTAAACCCTAACTAAGACAGAAGTTGGTACCAGGGACTGGGGTACTGCTGTGACAGACCTGACCGTGATTTTGTCTGGAGGAATGTGATTTGGAAATTTTGGGTAAGGGAAGCAGTGGAATGCTTTAAGCAGGGATTAATGGACCGCCTTAGCAGGGACATGGAAGACAGTGGTGCTGTGGGTGATTTGAATTATGGGGGCCTGCTCATGAGGTTTCAGAGAAGAAGAATTTTAGTGTGGGGCCTAGACACCGTTCTTGTGATGTTTTGGCAAAGAATTTGGCTGCTTTGTGCCGGGAGCCAAAGCTATCTATGGAAGCCAAAGTCAAAGCTATCTAGTGGAGACAAAGGTAGTTACTGAAGCCAAAGCCAAGTAGAGAGCAAAGGTCACTTAGTGGAGACCTAAAGCATGGGTGATAGACTGTGAGGACATCCGTTTGTTAGAGCATCCATAAGATATCTTAAGAAAACATCCTTATGGTATCTTGCAGGTACAATATTTAACCCATGAAAGCACTCTTCCTATTTCCTGCAGCAGTAGATTAACCTTCCCTCTTTCCTGCCTTCTCCCTATATAAATTGGGTAAAAATTTCTAATAAACGGAAGCCTTGATCAGATGAACAGACTTGGCTTTCATTCCTGCGTCTCTTGTCCTCTCCCCCCATTCCTTACAATCTCTCCACCTTAGGAACCCTGTTGAAGCCCCGAGGGTTGGGGCAGCTTTGTGCCTTTGTCTGAAAAGTTTGCCCGCTAAAGTGAAGACTTTTGGATTCTCCAGTTCTGCCCCAGAGGGACCTACAAGCTTTTACAAGAGTAGCTACACACTGGGGGAAAGAAACCAGGAGACTTTCCGGGTGTCTGTTAGAGACTGGTTATGAATTGATGCTGAGTGGAGAGATCCCAAGAAAACTTTTCTGGTTCAAGGATTAAAGAGTCACCAGGAAGTGGGATGAAGCCAAATCCTGTGTTCATGGGGGTAAGCAGATTAAAGATATTAAATGAAATTAAGAAAGTGGTGATCTCAGGGAAAAATCCTATCCAGCTAACCTTCCATCTTTTATTTATTTGTTTGTTTATTATGTACACAGTGTCCTGACTACATGCAGGCCTTCACACCAGAAGAGGGCACCAGATCTTATTACAGATGGTTATAAGCCACCATGTGGTTGCTGGGAATTGAACTCAGGACCTCTGCAAGAACAGCCAGTGCTCTTAACCTCTGAGCCATCTCACCAGCCCCTTTAAGCTTCTATCTTATGAAAAGGTATTAAAGAAAAGCTTATGTCCAGTCGTGGTGATACACTCCTTTAATCCTAGCACTCAGGAGACAGAGGAGGCAGGCAGATCTCTAGGTTCAAGGCCTGCCTGGTCAACAGAGCAATTCCATCTGAAACAGAAAACTGGTGAAGAAATAAATGGAAAAGGCACCATGTTCCAGCCCCAGCAAGCAGCAGAACTTGGCAGCTTCAGCCACGAGGTTCTGGCTTTAGAGTCAAGGATAGAAGAAAGGGGTTATAATCTCCCTCCATGACTAAGGAAAGTTGCTGAGGCCAGATGCATGGCAGTAGTGTCCCTGCATGGAGGCCCAGATGGGCCATCGTGTGAAGCTGTGGAGGTGAAGCCTAGACTGCCTCGGAGACCCCAAGGTGTTGGAGATGCCATAGCCTCAGGATACCTGCCCAGCAAAGCAGCTAACAGGGAGCAGAGCCAGCCTAAGAGAAATAAGTGTGTTGCAGTCAACAAGGCTGACGGGAGTTGGAGATCCGGAGAGCACTTTGACATCAGACATAGAAATGCAGAGTCTGGGGCTTGTCCAGCCGGATTTTTGGTCTTTCTTTTGTCCAGTATCTCCTCACTGTGTTCCCTTCCTGTTTTGGAATGGTAACATATATCCTGTGCCATGGCATGCTGGAAGTATGTGATCTGCTTTTTTATTTGGATTTTATAGAGGATTACAGTTAAGAGATTGCATGAATCTCAGGAGAGACTTTGAACTTTAAACTTTTAAACATTGTTGAGACTATGATAGACTACGGGCACTTTTGAAGTTGAACTAAATACATTTTTCATTGTTATGGCTACAAACCTATGGGGACCAGGGAGTGGAATGTGGTGGTTTGAATTGGTTTGGTCCCCACAGATTGGTCCCCATAGAGTGCTTGGCCCATGAGTAGTGACACTATTGGGAGGTGTGGCCTTGTTGAAGGAGGTGTGTCACTACTGGGATGAGCTCTGAGGTCTCCTATGCTCAAGCTCCGACCAGTGTGGAATCCAGTCTGCAGATCACGAGGTAGAACTTTCAGCTTCTTCTCCAGCACCATGTCTGCCTGCACATGGCCACGCTTCCCACCATGACGATAAGGGGCTGACACCGTAAGCCCGTCCCAATGAAATGTTTTCTTTGTAAGAGCTGCCTGATCATGGCCTCTTCCCAGCAGTAACACCCTATCCGAGGCACCCAGCATGCTTAGATCCCACAGTGACAGGCTGGGCCCCACTCCACATAACTGTACATGGTGGGGCATGCCAATGTCACAGCACTCAGGAGGCGAAGGCGGGAGGAGCAAGAGTTCGAGCTCATCGGTCCTTGGCTACATACTGAGTTTGAGGCCAGATACGTACATGAGACCCTGTCTCAAAAAAGAAAATCCTCAGCAGAAATAGCTGATGAGACTAAGCAGAAGAGAGGGACACACTGAGGTGCAAGAGGCCGAGTCAGCAAACACCCCAGGGCAAAGGCCGTGAATCCTCACATCTGTGAAGCTGGGCTCCTGTCATTTCCATTCACAGTTCACTCGATTACCAGCTTTTCTTAATTGGAACTTTTCTTTTTTTTCTTCTTTAGGAAATAATTATCTTACATTCTGAACCCTGGTCAAAACTAACAAATTTTTTTAATCGACACACCATTAAACATTGGATAAAGAAAAACAGAAGAGTTGGCTCACATGAGCCACAGCTTGACTGAATAACAAGCAAATTTGGCTTTTTTTTCAAATTATTTTATGTGTAGAGATGTCAACTCTGCATGTATGTCTGTGTACCACTATGCATGCCTGGTGCCTAACAAGGCCACAAGAGGGTGCCGGATGCCCTGAAACTGGAGATACAGACAATTATAAGTCAACATTGGATGCTGGGAGTTGAACCCAGAACCTACAGAAGAGCAGTCCGTGCCTTTAACCACTAAGCCATCTCTCCAGACCCCAGAATCAGTTATTTTTATCCTGGATCACCACGGGTAAAATTTTTACTTGCCTGAGTGGTTGCTCTCTGACCTTGCCCTGTAGTAACATCCAAGCGGATATTACTGTGTTTTGAAAACAAGGCATTGAGCTGCTCCCTTTTTTCTATGTGGCTGGAGAAACAGTGGCCACCTGGGCCTAGTAGGAAGCTCCCACAGGTAGCATGTGGCCAACTGGACTCCCCTCAAAACGGCCTCACCCAGCAGGGAACAACCAATAAGCCAACAGGTATATGTAAGGTCACAGGAAGGTCCCCAAAACTGATGATTTACCAAACATCCAAGTCAAAAAACAAAAATTAAAAAAAAAAGTATGAGGGTGGGATTGGGAGGGAATGAGGGAGCGGGACACGGCTGGGATACAGAGTTAATAAAATGTAACTGATAAGAAAAAAATAAAATTAAATTTAAAAAAAGGAAAAAAAAGTTCTAGATGGACCTGAAAAAAAAAAAGTATGTATAATTCCTTCCTTATAAAATTTACAGCAGTGAATGTGACATGGAACAAATTTTTTTGCTTTTTTTTTTTATTTTTCAAGACAGGGTTTCTCTGTGTAGCCTTGGCTGTCCTGGACTTGCTTTGTAGATCAGGCTGGCCTTGAACTCGAAGAGATCCAACTGCCTCTGCCTCCCTGAGTGCTGGAATGTGCTCCACCATGCTCAGCTTGACATGTGACAATTTTATCAGTCTTTGGGGATGTTTTCTTGGAGTTTTGACTGTGACTTGACAGGAACCATTTTCCTGCAGCCCTGGAAATTTTCCTCCTGCCCTGTACTTTGAGACCAGATGACAGCCATTCAATCCAGGGTTTGAATCCAATCAATCCAGGGTTTGAATCCATTCAAACCCTGGATTCTCTGCACTAAATAGGCCTTTGCTGGACATGGTGATGCTGGCCTGTAATCCCCCGATTTAGGTGGTGGATGCAGGGGGATTAAAAGTTCAAGATCATCTAGAACTACAGGGAAAGTCCAAAACCAGATTGTGGGACTGAGCTGGTAGCCACCTCAGCAGTTAAGGTACCAGATTGTGGGACTGAGCTGGTAGCCACCTCAGCAGTTAAGGTCACCTGGGTTCAATCCCAGCACACAACATGGTGGTTCACAACTGTCTATAACTGCAGGTCCGTGTGAATCTGACACTCTTCTGACCTCTACGGGCACCAGGCATGTCCGTGCCACACATAGGCATGCAGGCAAAACACTCATATACATAAAATAATAAAACACAAACATCTAAAAAAATTTAAGGACCAGCTTGTGCTATATGAGCTCCTGTCTCAAAAAAAAAAAAAAAAAAAAAAAAAAAAAAAGGAGGGAGAGAGGGCTCAAAAATGGCAGCTCAGTTGGTAGGGTGCCTATGTAGGCACTCCAAAGGTGAAGATCTGAAGTTCAAGGTCATCTTCAGCTATAGAGCGAGTTCAAGTCCAGCCTGGGATACATGAAACCCTTGGGGGGGGGGGGCTGGGGAGTCTGTTTTCCAATGATCACAATCTCAAAGGCTTGAGCCATTGAAACCCAAACCCATTTAAAATAATTTTTTTGGTTTGTTTGTTTTTGAAACAGGGTCTTACTCTGTAGCCCTTGCTGTCCGGAACTCGCTGCATAGAGCCTGCCTCCAACTGCCCAAGCCCTGGAATTAAAGGTGTGCCTGACCCTCAAATGTTTAATACTTGTTACATATATTTTGTTCACCTCTTGTGTGCATGCGTACAGACATGTGTGTGCCATGGTATCTGTGTAGAGCTCAGAGGATAACTTTCAGGAGTTTTCTTTATCAATCACGTGGGTTCCACGGATCAAACACAGGTTGTCAGGTTTGGTAGCAAGGACACTTACCCACTGAGCCACCTCAACAGCCATGTGTTTAGTTTTTAAACCAATATCACATGTTTAAATTTCAATTTTCAACAGATTCATTGGCTTAGGTCAGTGGTTCTCAACCTATGGGCTATGACCCCTTTTTGGGTCTAATGACCCTTTCATAGGGGTCGCCGAAGACCATCGGAAAACACAGATATTGACATCGCAATGGGGGGGGGGAGGTTAATACAGGGTTTCTCTGTGTAGCCCTGGCTGTCCTGAAACTCACTCTGTAGACTAAGCTGGCCTCGAACTCAGAGATCTGCCTGCCTCTGCCTCCCAAGTGCTGGGATTAAAGGTGTGAGCCACCACACTCAGCTAACATTACAATTTATAAGAGCAGCAAAACTGCAGTTATGAAGTCACAATGAAATAATCTTATGGTCAAGGTTCACCAAAACATGACAAATGCTATATAAGCGTCACAGCATTAGGAAGGTTGAGAGCCACTGGCTTAGGTGAATTCTTACAATATTAAAATTTGTTGTTGTTGTTTGGGTTTTTTGTTTTTTTTAAGATTCATTTATTTATGTATATGGATGGTTTGCCTGCATATACATTTGCACACCAGGAGAGGGCATCAGATCCCATGTGACTACAGTTATAGATGGTTGTGAGCCACCATGTGGTTGCTGAGAATTGAACTCAGGACCTTTGGAAGAACAGCCAATGCTCTTGGCTACTGAGCCATCTCTCCAGCCCATTATTTTGTTTTGTTGTTGTTGTCTATGTTTTGAGACATGGTTTCTTTGTGTAATAGCCCTGGCTGTCCTGGAACTCTCTTTGTGGACTAGACTGGCCTCACACTCACAGAGATCCACCTGCCTCTACCCCACAAGTACTGGGATTAAAGGCATTCACCACTACCACACCCGGCTCTCAATGTATTCTTTATGACGCATAAGAACACAAAGTGTCAGCTTAGCTTTGAACTCAGCTTTTGTTGTTAAAAGCTATCGGGCCTTTCCACTCAAAGAGCTTGCTTGTTAGAAGTTGTTTTGCGGACTCAAATGCTCTGGGCGGGTAAAGGTCACTGAGTCAGAATGGATAGAACATAATTTATTCAACCAAATCCCTATTATGACCAGAAAGCTGATTCTAGTCTTTTGATTTAAAAGAAACAAAGACAATAGGTGGGGAGAGAGGGCCTCAAACAAAGCACGACATTTAAGTCAGTACCTGACCTGCTATAGTCCAGCATTACAGGAACAATCTGATAAGCACAATTATGAGAAACCTTAGGGTGAGGTGTAAATGGTAGCAGGGAGCATCACAGACTCCCACGGCCCCTTCTGGCACTCAACTGGTGGCCTCTTGCTGAATTTCTCCTCACAGGGTTTTCTAAGCAATGACTTACCACGAATTTCCAGGTCCTTTCCCTCCTACTGTTTACTGACTCTTCTGGCTAAGAAGTCAGTCTAATCCATAACCAGCCTGACTTCAAAAGCCCCAGAAACCCCTAGAGAGAAACTCACAGTTTTCACTGAGTCAGACAAGGCTTCCCACTGCTCGAATGGCATCGACATCTGGCTCCTTCGCCAATGGTCGTAGCGGGCTCTACTCTCCGCATTGGTTAGAATCTCCTTTGCCCTCTGCAGTTTCTGAAAAGTCTCCACTGGAAAACAAGACAAAAGATGAACACTGCTCTCTTGGGAGGGTTAAACTCTAAAACTATCCAGCAGATGTCACTTGAATCTTGACTCAGCCGCACACTAACCATGAGACTTTGGGATAGTCTCCATAGTCGGGCTTTAGGGTCTTCATTTGTAATGTATCATGAAGACGAGTGAGATGGTTAGGTGGGCTGGTAAGGCGGCTCAGGGAGTGAAGATCCTTGACAGCAAGCACGACGACCTGAGTTCCAGCCCCCTGGACACATATAACAGAAGGGGACACCTGACTTGTGCAAGCTGCCCTAAGTTACACACATGCCCTGTGGCGTGTGTATGTAAGCACGTATGTCCACGGGCTGCGTGTGTGTGTCTGTGTGTGTCAAGAGCTTGACACATTGGTCAGCCCCTCCTTTTACTGGGCTCCACTGATGTCCAGGTGCTAACAACACGGAAGGCAGAATTATAAAAACCATAGTTTTATGCATAGAAAAGCCCTTTTCTGTTGCTAACTGTCAGTCAAGAGTGTAGATGTGCATCTGTTGGTTGCCTGAGCTGGCCCCAGGCGCAGCTGCCATTCTGCATTTCCTGGGACTGCCAGGGGGGAAGCAGACGCTTCTCCTGCAGGATGGTCCAGGCACTCTTTGCTTCCAGACAGGAACAGAGGAACCCTATGGATCAAAGGTTCTGTTTCTCTCAGGAATGGCTAGAGCACTCAGGGCGGAGCCCTTCAGTTAAGCTGCTGTAGAGATGCAGGTGAAAGCCAGAAACCAACAGGAAGGTAGACTGGGCCAAGAGCTCAAGGCAAGAGAGCAGGCTTCAAGGGCTGCAGAGGCAGTTCCACCACTGCTGCCTGACCATGACAAGCCTGACAGTGCTAGCTCAAGGCAGCCAGGCAGGAAGCTGCCTAACTGGCAGCCAGGCCTGGGGGGGTCCAGAAGCTCACAGTCGCCTTCAGGAAGGAGGGGAGCCCTTCCTTCCCTGCAGTTCTCCTCCTTCCTGGGGGCTGTTGGCCACCAGCCCACGAAGGCAGGAGGAACAGAAGGCAAGGTGCAGAGATTGGAAGGCCGGTGAGCACAACGGAGATCAAACACTCTGGGAACCACTTCGGGGAGCTGGTTCAACTTTAATTCCAGACAGCAAAGGCTATATACACTTTGGAGACTGGGTGGGGGAATCCAAGGATAGGTGTACATAACTGGTTAAAACTAGGCACTTCAAGGATGCTTGATTTGCATTAAACAGCACACTCCTATCTTATGAATGGAAATGCAGTACCTAATTATCCTATATAGGCACAGGGAGGGCAGAACCAGCAGGGAGCTGTGCCAAAGGCCATATATCAAAGGTGGTTAGGGACAGCTATGTGTAGAGACACTCTCCAGATGAAGTCAGGCAGAGAGTAGGAGGCCCTGCTGGGGAGAGGGAGTCCTGTACCTTAGCACTGAGCTCAGAATGGCTATCTGGACTGGGAGGACTGCACTTCCAGAATAAATGACAAATTTGATGGTCATGGTGGCGGAACAGAGTGAGAGAGAATTTATTTCATGAATCAGGAACTTAAAACCTTTGGGCAGTGGGAGGAGCTATGAGGGTGAATGTTTTTGATTCACTGGGGCTAGGGGTACCAGAGATACTTGATTTACATGTAACACAACCTTATTATAAAAGGGGAAAGGAGTACTTAATCATCCTATGGGTGGGGGAAGAACTCCAGGTTCAGTTAAAGGTTGTTGGCTGAAAGCCAAAAGCCAAGGCACTAAGACATCTCATTAGCATAGGGTGGGTGTTTCCAGGAATCCCCTGGCTGGCCTGAAAGTGAGCATGGCAAACAAGGCAACACAGAAAAACCCTGTCTCAAAAATAAATCAAAAAGATAGAAGGAAGGAAGAAGGAAAAAGGAGGAAGGAAGGAAGGAAGGAAGGAAGGAAGGAAGGAAGGAAGGAAGGGCATTCTTATACACAATTGAGGCCCTGTTATGTCACAGTTTCTTGACTGAAACATTCCACTCTACAGGGACACTCCTTAAGAAGGAAGGTAAGCAACTAAGTAGCTTCAGGAAGTCCCTGAAACTGACCAAACTCATTGGCCCCTCCCTGCCAGAGTAAGCACTAAAGGCTGAGAACCTTTCTAAGGAATAAAGCTGAACTGCAAAGACCATGCTCATACAAGCCTGAGAGAAGCAGAAACCAGCTGAACTACCTAGGCGGTTCAGCCCAGCTGAATCAATGACTAGGAAGGGCCGTTCTCCAACCTGTTGAGCTGGCTACAGGCTATGCAGTGTGCGCCAGGTTGCGGCTTCTGTGAGCTGTCACTGATACTGGGGTGGGCTTCTGTGGTACAGTTGTCTTTGATTCCATCTTGCTCCTGTAACTCACCCCTCACCTATACTCCTGAAAGTAACCCCCACAAAACTCATGGTTCACCAAGTTGGACTTGGGTGGGACTGGTCCTTTGGTATGTCCTAGGTTCCCTGTCCGAGGTGAGTAGATGTGTGTACCATCTCCCAGGAAAAGTTTTACCTCACAACAAGCCAGTAAGCTGTTCATCCTCTTAAGAACAGCCGTTAGTAAATTCTTACCAGCTTTGGAGTTTTCAGGATGCTTGTCAGGGTGACATTCCAGAGCTCTGACCTTAAATTCTGCCAAGATTTGCTCAACCTAAAACAAAAATCAGTATTTCACATCAAGAGACTAGACGGAGGAAGCTGATTAGTCCAGTGGTTCTCAACCTCCCCAATACTGCGTGCGACCATTTTAATGCAGTTCCCATTCTCGTGACCCAACCGTAAGATTGTTTCATTGCTACTTCATAACTGTAATTTTGCTTCTGCTATGAATCAGAATCTATGTTTTCTGAAGATCTTAGAGGACCCCCGTGAAAAGGTTGTTCGACCCCAAAAAAGATTGCAACCCACGGGTTGAAAACTGCTGACTCAGTCACCTACAAGCATGAAGAAGACTTGAGTTCAGTGCCTAGCACCCATGTAAAAGCTGAGCCTGGAGACCACAACTCTGATTCCAACAAAAGGGG